CGCTCATGTAGATAAAAATCAACTGCGGTCTTAGCCCAAAGGGTATTATCTGTAATTGTGTCCGGTAGTGTTCCCCTCTCCTGCTGAGGAATGGTGCTGGCCGGTAACACATACGAAAGACAACTCGCATCCATCATATCGGGCATGGGAGGGGGTTTATCAATATGTCGACATATGACGCCATGTGAATCGAGATATTGAATGGCGGGCGGGACCTCTTGAACGATGACAGGGGCCTCTTGAACAGTGGGAAGGGCCTCTTGAACGATAGGATACGCCTCTTGAACGATGATAGGTGCATCAGGCTTCTTCTTACGGAGTCTTGGCACTAGTGGGGTGAACGGAGACGTAATGGCACGTGCACGACGTCTGATGCGTGAACCCATCGTGCAAGAAAAACCCGACGTAAAGCATCTACCTTATCGGGCCGCTGAAAATAAATTAATACATAAATCAATAAATAAATAAATAAATAAATAATGCCGAAAAAAGGTTATTTGCATTTTTAGTATAGTATTAAACAAATTTACCTCATTGTGTAGAGTATGAACCTCATTCTGCAAAGATGAAACAATCTCGCGTAGAGCGGCAACCTCATCACATAAAGTAGATACCTCACCACGTAGCGCACCATAGTCATCGCGTAAAAAATCCACCTCATCACGTAAAGACCAAACCTCATCACGCCATGCACCATTGTCTTCACGTAAAGTACCGACCTCATGACGCAAAGCATCGACCTCATCATGTAACTCCCCTAACTCATCCCTTGGAGGTGGAGAACAGGGAGATAAATGTCATGGCCTCTTTGTCGGTCGCCTATCATGAGGTGATGGTGGAGAAGAGGCTCGATGATGTGATGGAATAGGTGATGGTGGAGGTGGAGAAGAGGCTCGATCAGGTGTTGAGCTGTAGAATCAGCCCGATCAGGTAATGGCTCTCGAAGTGGGGGTGCTTATCATCCGTCCCATCAAAAAACCGCTTACTAGCTTGCCACCAATCAGTGGCAAGCTCAGCCTCTGTAATGGATAGTTGGCCTCCTAACAATATAAAAGCTCAAACAAAGTTAAACGTGTACTAGTAATAACTTGTTTATATATGGTATTATTTGTGTGTTAACTTACATCATTCATCGTCGTATATGGGAGTAACTCTTCCCAATCCAACATGCGGATCCTCTTCCAAGTAATAGCCCTAGGAATATCATTTGATTTTTTTATCGCATATGTCTGCATGCTGGGGAAAGCCTCAAATATCCAAATCTACAATCAACATAATACACAAACATTGGTAATTGTTAAATAATTAATTATAATTTTGGAAACATTATATAGAAATTCTTACCTTAAAGGCCCAAGTAAAGCCTGTCAAAGTGTATTTAGAATCATTGCCCCGAAAATTTTTTCGGTCCTCAAAGGCATACGACAACTTCTTCTAGGTAGCTTTCCATAGATATGAACCCCACAGAAATAGGTTCCATGCATTTAGGTCCTCTACCAATAATATTAGGTCCTCGGAGATAGGTTGTCTGTCCTCTGTGCCTAAAAAGCTGGCATGCAAAAGTAATAAATGGCATACTCGGACAACATCAAGGTCATCCATCCGAGTAAAACCATCTTTAACAAATAATCTCTTCAAGTCGTCAACGTGTAAACTCGGCTTCGACTTTGCCAGCTCAGGAAAAACCCGAGATAACCATGATGGGCGGGAGATATGACTAGTGTACCGGGTTACATCATCGTGTCCGAAGCGTAGACCAGTGATTAAGCAAAACTCCTCCTGCCCAAAACAAGTATACGCCGGAGGAAAATGAAACCATATCTCTTCATCACCACGTTGTATCCTCTCGGGTAGATCGTTAGTCATGGTCTGAAGAAAAAAATGTGTCAACATAGCATCTCCGCCCGGATGTTATACTTTCAGCCATGGCCCGAAGCAAGTATCCTCAAACAATTTTCTTTGTAGAGGTGTAAGCGTCGACGCAATTTTAGTGGCTATGCTTAATTTATTCCTTAAGGTCAATGCAGCCGAAAAAAATTTCTACAAAAACAATAAACATACAAAGTTAGATATACCAAAAACTACAAAATTATACACTATAAACACACATGATATTAAACAGTGAAAACAAAGCCAAATATGTTTCAAACTAGCACGGTATTCACCCAAGTCATTATTCCATCATAGTTCACAAAACATCATATAACATTCCAGAAGTAAGCACTTATATAAACATTTAAAAGGACAACATATAGGTTTAGTGCAGGTTCAAGGACAACATAAAGAGTAGTAGTTTATTCTTGAAACTTAAATTCGCAACACTGTGAAGTTAGTATTTGTCTTTGTTTTTTGGTTGAAGTAATGCAATTCATTCAAGTTTCAATTTGCAGAATAAGAGTAGTTTCTGAAACTTAAATTTGCAACGCGAAAATTAAAATCGCAATGCAAATATCACAACGCTAACATGAAAATCGCAACGCGAAACTAAAATCGCGTTGCAATTTTCATTTTCGCGTTGCGATTTTCATTTTCGTGTTGCAAATTTAAGTTTCAAAAACTATTATTCTGCAAATTGAAACTTAAATGAATTGCATTTCTTCAACACAAAGACAAATACTAACTTCACATGACAGTATTGGCAGCAACCGAATGAATTTACTAAGCAATCAAAGTGAAATGGTTATAGATTATATATTGAAATTACCAGTAAATTTATCATCAATATCAGAAAAATCTAATAATAATACAACAATTTCAAAATAAAAATAAGAGATTAAACTAACCCTCGGTGGTTGATTTTCTATTTATGACCGTGAATGGTTGTGAGGGTTGCTCTGAGAGATGGAGATAGATGGATTTCGCCGGAGATGGGGACAGATTTCGTCGGAGATGGGGATGGATGTCGTTGTAGAGAGTGAGAGATGGAGATGGGACTGAGTTGTGATTTAGGGTTTTAGGTTATGATTTGCGATAATACTGTTTACATTTGTGTTTCTCAATTAATATTGTGTTTCGAATTCAAAAGTAAAATTTGCGTTGCGAAAATAAACGCGCTTTGCGAATTTGACTTCTGTGTTACGAATTTGACTTATGTGTTGCGATTTACAAATTCACGTTGCGAATTTGGAAACTGGGTTACGAAATAGGAGTTCGCGTTGCGAATTTGTTGGTCATTTTCGCAAATCCAAAAAAAGTTGGTTAAAATCGTACATTATAAGGCATTTTCGGTTATTGAGGTTATTTTCTCATAGATTATTGTATCAACATATTTTATGTACTTTTTTTTTATTAAGCTAAGGTGATTACAAAGTAGTATATATTCTAAACATACTCAACCATTTGACAAGTAACGCTCAACTTCCGTGGAGGATAGTAATTTGCTTTTAAGGTGTATATGCTCTATATGTTCGTAAGATGAACCTCCATGCAGACACAAAGAAATGTATCATCTAGAATTGAACTCGATTTATATAAGCTTATAATGACCTTTCTATTCTTAAGAGAGGAAAATGAAGACAATTCAAATGCCTAACTTGAAAACAAACCTCATATAATAAGATGAAAGTACCCACCCAATTTGAGATATGTTGGACATATAGCTATTAATGGTTACCAAAATAAGTAGACAAGATAATGCTAACCTTTGTTGTTTACTCTAAGTCCATTCATCATTAATGAATCATAAAACGTCATGTGTTAAAAAATAGAAAAATATGAAAAACTATATGAACATCGAGACTGTGTAGCAGTAAGAAAAAAGAAGGCAGGAGGGATAGAGTAACTGTGATTTGCGTTACTGTGCCGGAGCTCTTTTTAATTGAAATGATGAGTAATAATAAGATATTGGTTTGGTGGTTAAAAACTTGAACTCTCCCTCCCTCTATAAACAACAATGAGCTGGCCTGGAACAAGATTACATTTGTGAGATGGGATTCAACAATGAGCTATATTTCAAACAAAATGGCCTCCCCTCACATTTATGTACATTTTTATATTCTTATCGATAATTTATTTCTTTTTCTTTAAATTTTATAAGTTCACCTCCCTAATATAAAATTATGTATATGATATGTTTTCACCTTTCAAAATTAAATTTATCTCATAACATAAAATTATGCATCTGTTCGTGGCTAAGTTTACCCTCTATATATTAGGGGTGTTCATTCGATTAAAACCAAACCGAATCGAACCGAAATACCCTTAACCGAATTAACCGAATTTTTTTTTATTTAACCGTTAACCGAACCGAATAAATTTCGGTTAATTTTCAAATTAACCGAAATTTTTTATAATTTTTGAATTTAATATTTTTTAATTAAAAAAACATTTTATAATATTAAACATGCAAAATACTTCATCCGTAATCTTCAAACCCCATTATTCTATGCAGAAAAATATGTTAAAAACTTAAGGTTGAATCTTGTCGCACCAGTAGCTTTATATACATATAAAAATTTTACTTTAAAAAGTAATTTCAACATTTTGATCGATAAAGCGTGCATGACATGCACCATAAACTAAAAAGTTGTAGCAAAAAGACATAAAAGAACCCACCTACCAGACTGCCATCGAAGTTGATAAAAGCAAAGTTGAAACCAAGAACAAGAGAAATGATAATAATTTACATTAGCAGTGTTGCCTCACCTATGCTATGCCTACGTGTGAAACAATATTTAAGGGAAAGAAAATATTTAAGTGGGGGCAACATATTATGGGGTGAAATAAAAATATTTAAGGGTTAATTCGGTTAATTAACCGATTTCGAACCGAATTAACCGTTAACCGAATATCTAAAAAAATATTAACCGTTAACCGATCGAACTAATTCAGTGGCCAATCGAATTAACCGAACTAATTCGATTCAATCGGTTAATCGAATTAGTTCAAAAATTTGAACACCCCTACTATATACCCTATAGATATATATAGTCCTTCCCCCTCCACCACTTACCTACTTGTCTCAACTCCCAACACTAGCTACGTAAGGGGGTTTCATTTCATCTTTTGTTTCTTTGCTTCAATATTGTTCATTCTCCCCTACCATTCTCTCCGTAGGTTCTTCAAATCCAATCGCCGTCAATAGTCGCTCCCTCCCGGAACTCTCGGTTGGCCTTACATCGGAGAAACCTTCCAGCTCTACTCTCAAAACCCAGATGTCTTCTTTTCTTCCAAGCAGCAAAGGTGCCTACCCTAACTAGCACAATATGTGGTGTGTTATTACAAATATAAAATAAAGTGACCGTTTTGTTTCTACTTGGGTGGGTATAGGTATGGCTCCATATTCAAGACACATATACTAGGTTGTCCTTGTTAATGATGTCCAGCCCCGAAGCTGCCAAGTTCGTGCTGCTCACCAAATCTCATATCTTCAAGCCAACATTCCCCGCAAGTAAAGAGAGGATGCTAGGCAAACAAGCCATCTTCTTCAGCCGAGGACAGTACCATGCCAAGTTGAGGAAGCTTGTTCTTCGTGCCTTCATGCCCGACGCCATCAAATAATCGGTTCTGAACATCGAATCCATCGCCTAACATTCCCTTCGACCATTGGAAGGCCGCCTCGTAAAAACTTTCCAAGAGATGAAAACAGTAAGCATTCCTCTGTTTTCTCTTGCCCCTGATTCTAAGTTGGAGCAGACTTATAAAATTTTATTAAATATCTTATATGAGAAATAAAAATTCTTGCAGTACGCATTTAATGTTGCCCTGCTATCGATATTCGAAGAGGATCAAGTGGTTTACCGGGAAGATCTGAAAAGATGCTACTACGTTCTCGAGAAAGGATACAACTCGATGGCGATCAACCTCCCCGATACACTTTTCAACAAATCAATGAAAGCGAGGAATGAGATTGCCCGGATTTTAGCTGAAATCATATCGACCAGGAGGCAAATGAAACCGGATTGCAATGACTTGCTCCAGTCTTTCATGAGTGATAAAGAAGGCCTCACCGACGAACAAATCGCCGACAACATCATCGGTGTTATTTTCGCTGCTCGCGACACCACTGCCAGCGCATTGACGTGGATAATTAAGTATCTGGGAGAAAACCCCAGCGTTCTTCAAGCCATCACTGTAAGAACCATAATCTCTTTAAATCCCCATATGGCCATATCTCACTATGATGAATTGTAATGTGCCAAGGTGGGTTTGAATTACAGGAGGAACAAGAGGCCATAATGAGGGGCAAAGAGGAGCAAAAACTGAGTTGGGAAGCTACAAAGAAGATGCCCATAACATCTATGGTGATTCAGAAGACGCTTAGGGTTGCTTCCATTTTATCTTTTACCTTCAGAGAAGCAGTTGAAGATGTTGAATATGAAGGTGAGTTACCACAAACCATACATTCATACAAACATACATACATAGCTATTTGTCTTTTCTTTTGTGCTAATAACAGTTACATGATGGTTCTGGGTATCTAATACCAAAGGGATGGAAAGTGTTACTTGTAGACACTAAATTTTTGTCTCGATTTTATTTATATTATTATTATCATTATTATATTATTATTAATTATTTTTATTATTAATATTTTTATTAATAAATATTATTATTACATATTACAGGCCCAATACCCGGAGCCTAATTCCAACAATACCCAATCTGGTCCAGACCTAATCCCGGAGCCCAGTTCTGGCCCAATTTGAGCCAGCCTAATAGAAACCCTAAACTAATTAGGGTTTCATTTTCTTCAGCCGCCAACATCAATTCCACCGTTGGATCTGATAAGATCCAACGGTCCAGAAGCCTCCAGATGGAAACCCTAGGGTTATGATACCCTAGGGACTACAACCGCCGCCTCTGCTGCCAAGTGTTCCAACCGAACACTGTCGACGATCCGCTGCCACCGCTTCAACCTCTACTGCCACGACGCCAACAGAAGCTTCCAGAGATCCCAACACAGCCGTCCACGTCGCAGTTATGGGGTGGGTCACCACATAGCTCGGTGACTCACCAAACTCCACTCTTTTACCCAGTCTGAGACAAGCGCCGGTGATGGCTATAAAGCCACCACCGAACCTGCAAAGAAAAACAGAGGCAACCAACAGCCACAGAGCAACCAAACAGAGAGGAATCAACAAAAGAAACTAAAAAAAGAGAGAAGAAAGGAAACTTACCCTTGGAGCCTCGATCATTACCGGAAGCCAAACATCGCCGGAGAACAGAAAATACCAAAGGTATTTTCTTAGATTTACTCCGATTAGGAGTTTTTTAGGGAAGCCAGATTTGGCCTTAGGAAGAGAAGGCCTTTATTTTCATGTAAAACGAAACTTTCCGGCAAACCAAAGATGGTAGCCGGCGGCGGGGATTACGGCGGCATACGGCTGCCGGCCGATGACCGGCTTCCCTCCGGTGAGGGAAGCTAGGAGAAGTGAGAGAGAGTTTAAACTCTCTCAGTTTAGAGAGAGGAAGGAAATGAGAGAAATGAGAGCTGGCCTTTCAGGCCAGCCGTTTGGGGACTTAAATACCCCTCCCCGAACAATGCCGTTTTGGGGAGGGGTCTGTCTGTAATTAATTAAAAGTTAAATCTCGTACGTAGTCCAGTAACTTTGTAATTTTTCATTATAGTCACTGAAATCAAATTATGAACTTTTTAATTTGATCTCTTAATGTTATTTCTTTATAATTTAGTCACTGACATAAATATTTTAGACAAATAACCGATTTAGTCCTTTAATTCTAATTAATGTTATTTTAATCCCGAGCATGTTTTAATTTATTTTAATTTGACATTCGAATTTAATATAATTTTATTTTAGTCTATAAATTAATAAATGAGTAAAATAACATGTTTAATTACTGAATTAGGTATTTAATGCAATTAGTTTATAATTTAGTCACTAATTTCAATTTTTATTTATATTTTTTTTACAAGTTTTATATATGGTTTTAATTTTATTGTTAGTTATATGTTAATATGTTTACTTTTAATTATTATTATTATTATTATTATTTAACTATAAATATATATATTTATATAATAAATAATATGTATTTTATTTATTAAAATCTTAGTTAATTATTTTTAACTTATTTTAATCCTATTTTAATATTTATTTATTTTCCAATATTAAGAAAGGGCAGTCTTAAAATAATTGGATGTCCATTTTCTGATATAAAAAAAATAAATAAATATCTTATTTTATAAATTATATATTAATTGTTTTAATTATTTATTTATTAATATCAAAGAAAAGAGTTGTCTTAAGGCACCTAGAAGTCCTTTTCTGATATTTCTAAATAAATAAATATTTTATTTATAAATATATATAAATTAATATATATTTTCCATAATTATAATTTTAAAATAATAGGATTATAAATTAAATATATTTTGAATATTTAATAATAGAGACAATTTATAATTAAAAAGTATCAATTTTGGGCGTTGTAGGGGTGCTAATCCTTCCCTAAACGTAACCGATATCGAATCCCTTTTTATTATTAAAAAGAATGAATTTTTTGTTAAAACACATATCAGTTTATCTTTTAATCGATGTTTTCTTAAAAACTCTTTTAAAAGATGATTTTTAGGTATTCGACCTACCTGACCCAAAAGGCCGATGGCGACTCCCAAATTATTTTAAAAACCATTTATTCACATCACTTTTCCCGCCAAGTAAAAAATTCGTGCCTGGACGAAAACCAGTTACGACAGCTTGGCGACTTCGCTGGGGACCGTCAGGCTTATAAAAATCAATTATAAATTTTCTCTATTAATTATAAAATTAAAAATTCATATATTTAATTTATAATTCTTTCTTTTCAAATTTTTTATATACTTATTATTTTTATAGTATTTATATTAATATTTTCATTTTACTTGCAAGTATTTTATTTCATTATTTATTTTTCTGTTAGAGGTTTGAACATTTCTCCTCACACACAACACTTGCATTGCATAACATAAAGCTCTATAATTGAGTTCGTCCCTTTTAAGTGGGAGTGAAAGCGACGTCTTCGTGAGAATTTATTCTCCATGTCAGACCTAGCAAGTAACTTTCGGGGTTCATATACTCTATGTCTTCATGAGAATTTATTCTCCGTGTCAGGCATAGAGAAGTGTATCCCCTCGAATTGAACTTGATCCACTTTAGTCTGTGATGGACTAGGATTGAGGGTTAGCAACCCAAGGGGGCACTAACAAGGACAATTCGGGTACCTTTATTCTTAGATCTGAAACCCTGCATATAATAAACCCTAGAAATTCTTCCGATCTGAAGCCATGCCGAAATTTTGTCCAAAATAGGTGTACACACAGGAGAAATGAATTTTAACTTTTCCTTTTAATTTATTTATTTATTTTCTTACTGATTAAATTGCATGTGAATTTAAATTATTTAAAAGTATGAAGAAAGCATGTTTAAATAAAGATATTTAGGTAGACATTATTATTAAATTATTTTTTTCTTTATTATGTAAACTAATTCATTTCTTTTTGTGTGTTCTTTATTTCTTCTGTTTGCATAGCATCATACAGGATAAAAGGCATTGATCCTCCTATTAATTGTCTCATTGGAAAACCTTCATACATGGATAAAAAGTGTTCAAATCAAATAGTTCTAAACTCAGAAGTAAGACAGTGGGCTGAGGATTTACAAAGACAAGGGGGAGACAGTCTGTAGGATGACTATGTATCTGACTTAGCCAGTTATGCTCCAGTTTCGCTAAAAAGAAATGATATGCAAGATTTGCGAGGCATTTGGGAGAGTTGGGACTCAAACAAAAAGTTGCAGTTTTATCAGACTTACGAAGACATCCCATATTTGCTCTATGTCGAAGTTGATGATGACTTACTTCGAGCCCTAATTCAATTCTGGAATCCAGGGTACAATTGCTTCACTCTCAATAAGGAGGACTTGGTCCCTACTATTGAAGAGTACACAACTTTGCTACATATAGAAGGGGCTTTGGAGAATCGAATTTATTCAAGGTCAATTAAAACTCAACCTTTTCGAGTTAAATTAGCAAAGATTGCCGGAGTACGAGAGGAATGGGTGGTATCCCGTACAAAACAAAAAGGCGAAAGCGAAGGCATTGCTTGGACCAACATTAAAGAACTTATTCAAAGTCATCCAGACACTAAAGTATGATTCGATCTCTTTGCTCTGGGTATGTATGGTATGGTCATCTTCCCAAAAGTATTGGGATATATTGAAGCTGCAATAGTAGATTTGTTTGAGCAGCTACCAAAAAGGATTAATCTTGCTTCTGCAATTCTAGCAGAGACTTTCAGATCGTTAAACGCTTGTAGAAAGTTAGAAGGTGGACGATTCTCAGGGTGTACCCAATTGTTATATGTCTGGATCCGTAGCCATTTTTGGAGGATATAAAAGGTTTCATACCGGCGCTTTAATACAAACTATTCACCATTAAAAGAATTTCTGGAGCAAGAATGGCCGAAAGAAATTACAAAAGATATGTGGATTAATGCCTTTCGAAATCTGCAAAGCGATGACATTGTTTGGCGAGCCCCGTGGCAAATCCAAAGGGAATTCTTTTACAAATGTGGTGATTACAACTGGATAATGATGCTCGGATTGTGGGGAGGAATTGGATATGCACCACTTCTGGTCATAAGACAGTATGAAGGTCGTCAATTTATACCTGTCACTGCTGGATTACATTCATCTGAGTTCGCATTCCACAGCAAAAATTATAAAAGAAATATCATGGAAGCCTTTACAGCTTGGAAAACAACTTTTTGTATCCGAGCTAAAGCAGTAAAAGAAATGCTAACTCCTGATTATGAGGAATGGAGATCTGTCAGGAAAAATGAAAATATTCCTCTATCAGACCAAAATGAGGATATCTCTATGGAAGATCGCATTAAGGTGGTTCCATCAGAGATTGAAATCCTGAGAGCTGAGTTTGAAGCAGAAAGAGAAGATTGGTCAAGAGAATTAGAGCAAATGAGACGAGATAAAGCTATGTTGGGTGTTGACATTGACTTTCATTCATCACAATGTGCAATGTTGAGAGAAAACCAAGAAAAAGTTGATGGTGAATTCAGAATATTAAAGAAAAATTACCAGGAGTTATATAAATCCCGGAAAGCATCAGGACCGAGCTAATCAACAGTACAGATGACCAGAGAATTGAACATCGAGAAAAGTCGAGTTGAAGATCTGAAAGGAAAGAATAGCCGTCTACTCAAAAGCCTTGAGAAAGGAAAGCAGAAAATGGAAGATTTTGAGGTTGACAGAAGAGAGCAAATTATAAAACACAAAGCTGAACACTGCGAGATCATGAATGAAATGCAAAGAGAAAGGGATCGAGCCAAAGATTTAGAAGAGATGAAGAATGACATCCTTAATAAATTTGAAGGTGAGAAAAATATCATGTTCCAGGGATTTGAATCTGAAATGAACCATCTGATTGCCGAACTTGAAGTCAGGGGCCAAAGGATTGAAGAGTTCAATGTTGAAAAAGAAAAATGGG